TAAACTTTATTTTTCTTTAAGCCCATTAAATAGAGCTCTTTTACAAATTAATTTTGGCAATACCATCCAGAGGTAGAAAAATATCACATATACATACACATCCATAGACATCCATAAATATATAGACAGACACAAACAGAGACCCTATAGCCCTCATTCCAAAATTTAACCATGAATCAGGTACAACAATATAAATCTCACTAGTTTATAAAAAACAGTTGAATCCAAATTGTGTCTCTGGCAGACAGAACAAGTTAAGGTTACCAACTCATGTGGCTAATCTTTTTACTAATATTTGTGGAGAAGACTTTTAAGATTTGTATTTGCCCTTGATGAGTAATCTTATGGAGGCTGTAATCTTATGGGAGTAATCTTATGGGAGTAATCTTATGGAGACTAGATTTTGGGTAAGGGAGGTTCTTTAAGAGTCTGTATTTTAAAAAACCTCTTTTGCACCTTTTTTTCCCCGTCAGTCTGAGGTGATTGTGGGCAGTGTTTTAGTTATCTCCTAGGGTGTTTACATTTCAAGGACATCAAAGATTTACATCTTCAAGTGTCAGAAAAAGAATGCAAGTTTTTCACCTAGGGGTTTTGGGTATATTTCTCTATTATCAGAAATCTAGGGTAGTTACTATTTAAATTTTTTCTTTGTATTAGAGGTTGTATGGCATGGGGCACTTGGTCCGTTTTGTTATTAATCACTGCAGTATCCTCCTCTTCATTCCCCTCACATTCCTAGGGATTCCACCTCTTAGCACCTCAATTAGGCTTTGTCAGTAGTGCTCAGACTTTAATCCATGGCATCTTGTGCTCTCCTAGCTTTGTAAAATGTCACTCTAAGGCCTCTAACTTATTGTCTTGCTCTCCCACCTTGTCTGCTAGCCCTGAAGCTAGCAGAAAAGTGGACGACCACACATTCATTCTCTAACTTCAGCTCCTCTCCAACTTTTTAACTTGAGCTTCAGTTGGGAATTGGTGGTTAGTCAAACTGCCCACAGTAGAGGCTAGCCCACCGGGGCAGGCATTCATTTCTCTTCTTTGCCACAGTGTGCTATGTGCAGTTCCTCAAACAAATGCATTAAACTAGCCAGCATTTTCAGGATATCCCCTACTCATGCAGTAGTCCACAAGCATCTAACATATGGGCCACCCCTCCCCACAAAGCTGTTGATGGCCAACCCAGGATTTCCCCCACAGATACCTCTTTCTCAAGACCCATTTCTTTGGTCTCCTGGCTGGCTTGCCAATTGTTGGTTCACAACCTGGGAAGTTCCCCAGGTGAAATTCAAAATTGGCCCCCGTATACAGAGGGCAAGGAGAGACTGAAGAAAGGGGTAGACCACTCCATATTGGTAGGTGGCAGTTGTAATAAGCAAGGGGACTTACATACAAAGTTTGTCTTGGGCGACCGCAAGATGAGTAGATGTCCACACCCACCTACTAGAATCTTAAAAGTTTATACAGAGGCCATAATGAGGTTCATTCACAGATATAGTCCAGATGGTCTCAATAACACATTACTCTCTCAAGGCTACGTCCTTGAAAATGGTACCTAGTGTGGGAACAATGGATGGAACATACATTCCAAGGACAGAGGAAGGGGGTAAGGAGCCTCTGATTGCTTGGGACTAGCTCTTGGGTCAACCAGTGGTCACGTCCTCTCGATGACTTCCTCCAACAGTGATCTATGTAATATTTCCAAGTAAAGTGTTGAGGGCACCTAGTTTCTTCTTGATGCTTATAGCAAAATGTGAAAGGAGATAAATAAATTGAGGGAAAGACTGTTAAACACAAAGGAACCAGGACTCGATGGTTTTGAATGTTATTAGCCTCTGCAGATAGCACAAGATGCTAAAATTAAGAGATGGCTTTGAAGCACTATCAAGAAAATGTGGTCTAGAAATAAAGGAAAAAATGTGACTGTACAACCTTTTGTTAAGACCTCAGAAAGATCAGAGGATCAGAGTGTTCAGCCACACAAAACTCCCTTTGAAGAAATTAAGGATACCTCATACATCTTCTCAATCAAACAAGAGGGCCTCTAGAAAGCTTAAGAGTGTTGTCCCTCTGCCCTCTCAGGAGGAGGCCAAGGTAGAGAATGGTTTATCTCAAAGAGATCTATGGGTGCAGCTTTTGTCTAATGGAGTGAACCCAATGAGAGTCACAGACAACCCATTAAATTTTAGAGCAAACTATTTCAACAGAAGCACTACCACCTTAGACTGAAAGGGATAGAGATTATACAAAATGGAAAGAAGACATTGGACCCCCAAAATTCTACTGGTGGGAAGAAGGCTGAGAAAACTCTTCTGCTACTTTTTATGAAAAAGGAAGGCTGACTCAGAGGGTGGGACCAAGTACCCAGAGGGTGGAGCCAAATGCTGTGAAGAATTATTCCTAGGCCTTGAGACTTAATAAAGGAACTCCTAACTTTGCCCAGCCAGATAACACTTATTTTCTTCAGTATTTTAAAAGTATCATTCAGCTGTATTTTGATCTCCATTTTTTCTGTTGAGCAGTAACTGGTCATTTGAAGCACAGTTGCCCTGTATGTAACATGTTGGGGTTTTTTTTTCTGGCTGCTTTCAAAATCTTTTCTTCTTTGGTTTTCAATAGTTTGACTACAGTGGGCGAGCTGTGGTTTTCTGTAGATTTAGCCTGCTTGGGGTTTGCCAAATATCTTGAATCTGTAGATTTATGTCTTTCACCAAATTTGGGAAGTTTCCACCCATTATTTTAAAAAATATCTTCTCTGCCCCTTTCCCTTCTTCTTCTGTGCCTCAAATTACATGCACGTTAGATCCTTTGATTTTGACTTATCCATCCCTGAGATCTGTTGTTTGTTTGTTTCAAAACTTTTCTTTCTGCTTTTCAGATTGGGTAATTTCTGTTGGTCTGTCATTACATTCATTAATTTACTTCTGTTATCTCCATTCTGCTGTTAAGCCCATTCAGTGAATTTTTTACTTTCAGATTGTATTTTTCACTTCTAGACTTTTCAGTGCTTATTTTGTATAGTTTCTATTTCTCAATTGAGCTATCCTATTATTCATTCATTATTAACATACATACGTATGAATAACTGGTTTAAAATCCTTTTTGGCTAATTCCAACATTTGGATCATCTCAGGGTCAGTCTCTGATTGCATTTTCTCTTGTACCTCTTCTCTTTCTTTTGACACCTTTCTGTCTCTTTCTATGTTGAGTTATTTTGGCTGGAATGTTGTTGTTGTGAATCATATATGGTAGAGATTTTGGACTCTGTTTAGTTCCCCTGAAGATTGCTGATTTTTTGTTTTGTTTTATTTAGCAGGCACTTAACTTGGCTGGACTCAGACTGGAAACTATCTCCCCTGTGGTGTGTGGTAGCTCACATTTCAGTACGTTTTAGTGGCCAATCAGAGATTTGGGCAGAGTTCATACACAAAATTTAGACACCTGCCTCTGCAGGATTCCTCTTTGACATTCCTGTAGTTGTGATGACTGCAAAACTCTCCTTTGATTCTTCAAGTCAGTAAGACTAAAGGTTTTCTGTTGGAATTTTAGTACCCTGCATGGCACTGACTGGACCTGTTCACAGGCTAAAAGCTGTAAATATGGTAAATGCATCCAGTGCCATCCCTTCTTCTGTTATCAGCTCTCCTCCAGTAGATGCCTGATTTTGGTTGCTCTTCAGTATGTTCAGATAGTAGTTTTTTATAGTTTGTTCAAAGTTTATAGTTGTTATCTGTGTGAGAGTTGGTCTGATAAAAGCAAGTCCATCATACTGGAACTTTTAAATTTTGGGAGTTAATTTTTCTATATGGTATGAAGTATGGATCAAGGTTTGTTTTTCCTCTAATACTGATATCCATTGTTCCAGCACAATTTTTTGAAAAGACTTTCCTTTCTCCCATTGAATAACATTGGCACCTTTGTCAAAAAACAGTTGTCCATATGTGTATGGAGCTGTTTCTGGTCTATCTGTTCTGTTCCATTGATATATCTGTCTGTACTTACATCGATACCACACTGTCTGAATTATTGTATCTTTATAGTAAGTCTTAATATTACATAGTATAAATCCTCCATACTATTCTTTGCTTTGGCTATTCGAGGTCCTTTGTGAAGCCATATAAACTTTAACATCTCCTTGTCAGTTTTTATCAGCAAGTTGACAAATAGTTGGTTAAACAAGTAGAAGACAATTGAGTACCATGATAGAAAATTTCAACAACACTCAACCAACTTGATTTATATATTGTAGAACGCTACACCCATCAATAGCTGAATATACATTCTTTTTCAGGGACAGATGAAATATTCCCCTAGATAGACCATATGTTGAAATCATACAGAGTATAGTTCCTGACCACTATGGAATTAAATTAGAAATGAGCAATAAAAAGATAACAAGAGACAGTAGCCATATTTTTGAAGAGTAAATGAAAGCAACAGTAGAGGGAGCTATGTGAAGTTTAAAAAAAATATACATGCTTCCTTCTGAAAGTTATAGAACATAAATTTCCCATTAAAATGAGCAATAAAATAGGACTAAGGTCAAATCCTGTACAAAATTATTGTTTTTAAAAATGAAAGACCAGGGCCGGCCCCGTGGCTTAGCAGTTAAGTGCGCGCGCTCCGCTGTTGGCGCCCCGGGTTCGGATCCTGGATGCGCACCGATGCACCACTTCTCCGGCCATGCTGAGGCCACGTCCCACATACAGCAACTAGAAGCATGTGCAGCTATGATATACAACTATCTACTGGGGCTTTGGGGGAAAAATGAATAAATAAATAAAAAAAAAATGAAAGACTGACTAAATGTCGTACACAACGAATAGCAAAAATTTACGATTAGATATTTGTATTCTACACAACATTATGTATAACTACGTATTTAATAGGCATACCGTATGGTATATTATGGTGGAAAAATCATTAAAAACAATTTCCTATCAATCTTCTCCCTATCTCCCAGTGCTGACCATGTCACCCTGAACACGATTGTGTTGTTACAGGTATCAGTGTCGTTCAAGGATGTGACTGTGGACTTCAGCAGGGAAGAGTGGCAGCAACTAGACTCTACTCAGAGGCGCCTGTACCAGGACGTGATGCTGGAGAACTACAGCCACCTGCTCTCAGTGGGTAAGCACAGCCATCCTATGAATCTGCGAGGAGCCTGTTATGGGTAAAATTGTGACCTCCAAATAAAATATGTTGAAGTCCTAATTCTTGGTACCTCAGAACGTGACCTTATTTGAAAATAGGGTCTTTATAGAAGTAATCAAGCTAAAATGAGGTCATTAGGATGGGCCCTAATCCAGTATGATTGGTGTCCTTATAATAAGGGTAATCTGGACACAGGGAATACAATGTGAAGATACACAAGGAAAAAATGGCCGTGTGACTGGAGTGAGGCATCTGTAAGCCAAGCGATGCCTGAGGCCACCAGAAGCTAGGAGAGAGCCATGGAACAGTTCATTCCCTGACACCTTCAAAAAGAACATGGCCCTGTTGATACCTTGATTTTGAACATCTAGCCTCTAGTACTATGAGACAGTAAATTTCTGTTGTTTTGGGCCACCCAGTTTGTGGTACTTTGTTACAGCAGCCCTAGGACACTAACACAGAGCCTCAGTGAGGATATTTCCATCCTCAGCTGCTGAGTGCTTCGGGACATCTGGAGTTTTTGATGGTGTAGTTCTTGCTTGGTCTGAGATTCTTCAGTCTCTTTTCACCTCTGTGATTATTACTCTTTTCCCAATGAAATGTGGTGGTTACTTTTCCAAAGAACAAATGGAAAGTAATTAGCTGAACTCAATTCTCTATCATGTCCTGTTAACAGGGTGTGAAGTTCCCAAACCAGAGGTCATCTTCAAGTTGGAGCAAGGAGAGGAGCCGTGGATTTTGGGGGAGGAAACCCCACATCAGAGCTGTTCAGGTAAGTGAGTGTGATCCAGGCAGAAGGAAGACATGGAAATACATTTTTTTTCCTAAGAGGTTGATGCCTTTAAAATGCTATTATTTCTGCTTTTCTTGAAGGTTCTAAACTTTAGAAACTGCTTAAGGATAGATAACACTGACCTCTCAGGTACCAAATTGCTCTCTGCCTTTATTTCCCTTACTGTTATCAACTGTCTTCTTTGCTTGGCTTTCCTCCAAGAGAATTGCTGCAGTTCCTATACTCTGGATCACATGGCAGGCTTCCTCATTATGGTTCTTGCTTTCTTGGATATTCTCTCCTTCCATCACATTTTTATGCTTCATTACTTAAACCCCACCCCCATGGTCTTACATTCTTATCATATACATTCAGGTTTTAATGGATTTGCCTTCTTTGAAAATCAGTTGGTTGCCTCACTCCTGTTCTTCTTGAACCCTTTCACTTTCTTCTTTCTCTCATTTTCATCTTCTCACTCTAAGATACCAATAAACTGTCATCTACAACCAGCCTCACTTCCTCTTCTCTTGGTAAGTATCACTTCAGATTCCTCATTCCTCTCCATCTCTCCTATCACCATGCCTCTCTCCCATCTTCTGACTTTATGATCACTGTCACTTAGCATTTTTTCTTTTAAAATCAACCTTGTTAAGGTATAATTTATATTCAATAAAATGTACCCATTTTAAGTGTACACTTTGATGAGTTTTGATAAAGGTACACGCTGGTATAACCACCACCCCAATAATGATATATAACATTCCCTTACACAAAAATGCACCTTCATGCCCCTTGTAGTCGATACCCACCACCACTTTGGCTGCAGGCAACCATTGACATGCTTTTTGTCACTGTAGATTAGATTTATCTTTATTAGGGTTTCATATAAATGAAATCATACTGTAGGTACCCTTTGGGGTCTGGCTTCATTTTTTCAGCATAGTGATTTTGCGATTCATCCATGTTATTGAGTGTATCACTAGTTTGTTCCTTTTAAATGCTGAATACTATTCCATGGTATGAATATATTGCAATTGGTTTATTTATATACCTGTTGATGACAGGTGGTTATTATGAATAAAGCTGCAGTGAACATTCTGGTATGTCTTTGTGTGAACATATGTTTACATTTCTCTTGGGTAAATACCTGGGAGTGGAGTTCCTGGGTCATATAATAAGTGTATTCTTACCTTTATAAGAAATTGCCAAACTGTCTTCCAAAGTGGCTGTGTCATTTTACATTCCCAACAGCAATACATGAGAATTTCTGTTGCTCCACATCCTCGCCAACACTTGCTATCATCAGTCTCTTTAATTTTTGATATTATAGTGGATGTGTAATGGTATCTCATTATGATTTTAAGCTATGGTCCTCTGAGGCATAATGACGTTAAATATCTTTTCATGTGCTTATTGACCATTTGTACATTTTTTGTGAAGTGTCTGTTAAATATCTTTCCTGTTTTTTTATTTGGTTGTCTTCTTATTATTAACTTTTAAGAGTTGTTTATATTTGCTGGATACAACTCCTATGCCAGATATGTGTATTGCCAATATTTTGCTCCAATCTGTGGCTTGAAATTTTATTTTCTGACTCTTGCCTATCAAAGAGTAAACATTTTAATTTTGATGGAGTCTAATTTATCATCTTTTTAAAATTTTTAGTACTCTTTGTGATCTAAGAAATCTTTGCCTACTACAATGTCACAAAGATTTTCTCATATTTTCTTCTATAAGTTTTATCATTTTAGTTTTTTCAGTTTAAGTCTGTGATCCATTTTGTGTGTTTGATGTAAGGATTGATTTTCATTTTTTTCAATATGATATCCAATTGTTCCAGAACCATTTGTTGAAGAGACTTTCTCTTTCCTGTTGAATTTCCTAGGCACGTTTATCAAAATCAGTTGACTTTATATATGTGAACCTATTTCTGGACTCTCTATGCTGTTCAATTGATCTATATTTCTGTTTTAAAGTGTAGGTTTTATTATTATTCAGGTATGATGAGGCCAACAGATCTGGAGATGACTGCCATTGAAAAGATAGTTTGTAACTCACACTTCCCAGGAGGAGGAGGCATGCCACACCACATAAGGCCACACTGGGAAGGGTCAGTCAGGAGGCAGAAGTTGTTAGGGGAAAGCATGGGCAAGAGCCTTTATTGTGATTTTCATGAGAAAGAATGGGTGAGGCAGAGTAAGCAGGCTGGGGAGGTTTAGGATTGGCTAGTTTGAGTAATTCCAGCAGGCTCTGGGGTGTAAGGACTGTCTCTAGTTGTCTGGTACCTGGCCCTGAGCTGATTAGGGCAGGGGGATAGTAGCTCAGCCTGTGAGAGTTTGACAAAGGAGACAGTTGGTGGATATGAGCCCTGGATTGGTTGCATATGAAAGGTGTACCTACAGGGAAGTCTTTTGCTATCTCTAGGAATTAACTAGCCCTGGGAGGAGCAGTCTCTCCAGGATCAGCTAGGCTCCAGACGCCAGAGCATCAAGAATATAGAAAATACTGTTAATACACTGTCCTTTTGGCAAACCCATATGTTCTTTATTACTGTAGCTTTTATGTGTGTCTTGAAATCAGGTAGGATAAGTTCTCCAACTTTGCTTTTTTTTTATTACTTTGGCTCTTCTAGGTCATTTGTATTTCCATATAAATTTTATAATCAGTTTGTAATTTTTTTGAAAAAGCCGGCTGGGATTTTGTTTGGAGATGAGTTGACTCTGTAGATCAATTTTAAGAGAATTGACATCTTAACAATATTGAGCCTTCTAATCCATGAACATGGCATATTTCTTTTCTTTTCTTTTTGAGGAAGATTAGCCCTGAGCTAACATCTGTTGCCAATATTCCTCTTTTCATTTTTTCTCCCCAAAGCCCCAGTACATAGTTGTATATCCTAGTTGTGGGTCCTTCTAGTTCTTCTATGTGGGAGGCTGCCTCAGCATAGCTTGATGAGCAGTGAGTAGGTCCGTGCCCAGGATCTGAACCGGCGAACCCCGGGCTGCCGAATTAGAAGGCACGAACTTAACCGCTACACCACCGGGCCGGCCTCTATATTTCTGCCTTTATTTAAATCTTTGATTTCTTTCAACAATGTTTTATAGTTTTTCAGTATAGAAGTCTTATGCATCCTTCATTAAATTTATCCCTAAGTATTTGATGGTTTTTGATACTATTGTAAATGACACTGTTTTTTTAAATTTTATTTTCAGATTGTTCATTGCTAGTATAAAGTGTTAGTGATTGATTTTTGTACATTGACTTTGTATCTTGAGGCATTCCTAAATCCACCTGTTAGTTTTCTTGTAGGTTCTTTGGGGTTTTTCATGTAATTAGTCATTATCACTTTAGGGACACTTTTATTTCTTCCTTTCCGATCTCATGTTTTTTATTTCTTTTCCTTTCCTTATTTCACTAAGACCTTCAGTTCAATGTTGAATAGAAGTGGTGAGCGTGGACCTGCTTGCCTTGTTCCCGATATTAGGGACAAAAAATTCATACCATTAAGTATGATGTTAGCTGTAGGTTTTTTGAAGCTGCCCTTTTCAGGTTATATAAGTTCCTTTCTACTCCTAGCTTGTTGAAGAGTTGTTTTTGTTTTTTTTTTTATCATGGTTACATGCTGAATTTTGTCAAATGCATTTTCTTCATCTTATTAGAGTGATCATAAAGTTATTGCTTTTATTTTGTTAATATGTGAATTTATTGATTTTCAAATGTTAAATTAACCTTGAATTTATGAGATAAATACTAGTTGATTATGACATATTACCCTTATTATATATTGTTGGATTCTATTTACTGATATTTTGTTTAAAAACATTAGCATTTTTCGTGAGTGATATTGGTTTATCGTTTTCTTTTTTTGCAATATTGTTGTCAGGTTTTGTTATTAGGATTATGCTGGCCACATATAATGAATTATGAAGTGTTCCCTTCTCTATTTTCTGAAATAGTTTGTGTAAGACTGTTATTTCTTCTTTTACTGTTTCATGGAATTCACCGGTGAAACCATCTGGGCCTGGAGTTTTCTTGATGGGAAAATTTTAATAACAAATTCAATTTCTTTAATAGACATAGAGCTATTCAGATTTTCTGTTTCATCTTTTGTCAGACATAGTAAGTTGTATTTTTCAAGGAATTTGTCTATTTCTTTTATGTTGTCTAATTTAATTCTATTGTCATCTGAGAATACACTCTGTATGATTTCAGCATATGGTCTATCTAGGGGAATGGTCCATGTGTCTCTGAAAAGAATGTGTATTCGGCTATTGATGGGTGTTGTGTTTTTTAATATATAAATCAAATTAGTTGTGTGTTGTTGAAATCTATTGCTTTACTGAATTGTATTCTACTTTTTCAATCAATTATTTGTAATTTTGGGGGGTAAAAACTGACAAGGAGATTTTAAAGTTTATATGGATATGCAAAGGACCTAGAATAGCCAACACAGTCTTGAGAAAGAAGAAAAAGTATGAAAGATTTACACTACCTGCTGTTAAGGTTTACTATAAAGTTACAGTAATCCAGACAGTGTGTGGTATTGATGTAAGGACAGATATATAAATGGAAAAGAAGAGAGAGTCTAAAAATAGACCCACATATATATGGACAACTGAGTTTTGACAAAGGTGCAAATACAATTCAGTGGGGGAAAGGAAAGTGTTTTGAACAAATGGATATCAGTATTCGAGGAAAAAAACCTTGACCCATACCTTGCACCAGATACAAAAATTAACTTCAAGTCTGACTGAATAGTTTCTATTGGAGCAGCCCGTCTAACAGAAACTGTTAACTCTGAAAAATATGCTTTAAAAACTACTGAAGACACTGGAGAGTGACCAAAAGAACATTTTTCTGGGTCATCATATACTGAACAATTTTGGATTGCATCCTGAACATTATCAGTGTTATGTTATATTACCACTGTTTTCTGTTATATTGTTCTGTGTTTTTGTCATAGTAGGCAATTAACTAGGTTAGACTCAAACTGGAGATGCTGTCTCACCTAAGGTGGGTAGCAACTCAGATCTCTGTACAGACTTCCTCTAACTTCTGACTCCTCTCCCAAATCTGCCTGCTTTTATTCACTCTGCCAGTACATGTTTTGTTTTGTTTTGTTTTTCTAGGGATTATAGTTACTATCTGTGGAAGAATTTTTTTAGGAGCTTACTTCTCCATACTAGAAGTTGAACTCTTACAATTAATTGTTGTACATTGACCCTGTATTCTAAGACCTTGCTAAATTCACTTATTAATTCTAGTGAGTCTTTTTGTAAATTCCTTAAAATTTTCTGCATCCATTATCATGTCTTTTTATTGTTTTCTTTTTAGTCTGTATGCCCTTTATTTTTATTTTATCTTGTTCCCAATCTTTGCTCATTTCCTTTTCCGTAGAGCCTTTTCCCCCATTGAGATGCCTCTGGCTATGGGTGGTGTTTACTGTCATCTGAATAGTTGTTCCTATTGTAATTAACTAAAAATAATCTTCCATTCTGAACACTTAAGCTTTTTATTTGTTTTCTGATGACTTCCATATTGACACCACTAGTTGCTTTGTTAACTGGATCCTAGTACCACATTTACCTACATACTAGACAATGCCCATAGAATATTCTACTTTATTCATTCTTAGTATGTAAGGAATTGGCATCATCATAGCCCAAATCAGGAATTCTCACATTCCAAATTTTGTCAGATTCTGCTGTGTTTTTTGTTTCTTTCCTCTTAATTATCTTCTCTTACTAATTACTCTGCAGTTCTTCTTTTTTTCTTCTTTAAAGAATACTATTTAGGGGCCAGCCTGGTGGTGCAAGCAGTTAAGTGTGCGCACTCTGCTGCGGCAGCCTGGGGTTCGCAGGTTCGGATCCCGGGCGCGCACCGACGCACCGCTTGTCGAGTCATGCTGTGGCGGCGTCCCATATAAAGTAGAGGAAGATGGGCATGGAGGTTAGCCCAGGGCCAGTCTTCCTCAGCAAAAAAAGAGGAGGATTGGCAGATGTTAGCTCAGGGCCGATCTTCCTCACAAAAAAAAAAAAAGAATACTATTTAGATATCCTCTTATCTTAATTCTTAGTAGCATCACCCAAAAGCAGATCTGTATTTTCTTATGCTCAGATTTCTGTTCCTAATGGTATTTGCAGATTCTATTCTTGTTTCTAGTTCATCTTAAATGCTAATAATAGATTTCATTACTTGAGATACCACATTTATCTTTGTCATTAGCTTCGTGAAGTAAGCTTATGATTACTCTGTATTATATAACACATGACCCATAGCTCTTCTCTCAGTGCCATCTACAACGTGGCCATGTATTTCTGGTTAAAGTTGTATCTGTACAATTTCCTTAATTCATACTTTCCTCAAATTTTCACCTTGTCTTTAACATCAACCACATATGAAGTTCGTCTCTGTATCTAGGCTCTTTATTATTTTGTGCTCTGCCTATCCAGGTAATAGACACTTTCATTTTGTTTCATTTCAGGTTATCATCTATTCCATGAAATGGCTCTTACCTCCTCCACATTTATTGCTCTTCTCCATTTCTGTTCTCCCATCCCTCAGATGCTTCTGCCCCTAATAATTTTGAAAGTCCCTGAAAATAAGAGCCTGTATCTTACTTTTGTTATTTGAACACTAAGCATGAAGAAAATACTTAGCAATATTAACTAATTGAATTTGTGGGAGATAAGAATATGAGAGTATTTTCTTCTATTTCAGAAGCATTTTTAAAAATTCTACTGAGAGGAATTCAATGGAACATAGATTGTAATTGGAAAGTAAAGACAATGGCATCAAATATTTAAAAGTTTACTCTGTGCATTGTTTCTATTATGATAGAAGTCTACTAAAATGATTAGCAAAATGAATAGCACAGAGGGTGTTTGCTTTTGAAGTTCAGAAAAAAAGTGTCACTAGCATATGATCAGATTAATTTTCAAAGTAAAAAAATGCTTAAACTGCCTAATGAAGTACATGTACGTTTTTAAATGGCACAAAAGAAAATGATAATAAGCAGGCTAAATGGAGGAAGAGAACATGAACATGTCCTTTGATTTGAGAATAAACTAGACTTTTTTTTGAGACATTTTTATGAGTGGCCAATAGAATGCAAGCTTGCACACACAGCTCTTTTCTAGACTGATGACTCTTCATTTGTGTACTGTTCATGGAATCTCTGGGCTCAGGAAAGATGCAGAGAAGCTCTTATTGCAGGAGCAGATTTTTTACAATGAATATTGGTACTGGTGATCTAAATGTTGTCCAGTACAGCAGGGGTTTAGAAGTTAAGTTTTACTTATAAGTTATACATTTTATATATATTTATAAGTTAAAGTGAAAAGCAGAACCACTTCTAAAACGATGCCGAAGAATCTAGTGCTTAATATCTCCAGAATAAATTAAAACCAAATGTGAAAATGAAAACACAAATTAAGAATAAGAGGATGATCGGGGGTGGCCCAGTGGCGCAGCGGTTAAGTGCGCGAGCTCTGCTTCGGCGGCCCAGGATTCGCAGGTTCGGATCCCTGGCACGCACCGGCGCACCGCTTGTCAACCCATGCTGCGGCAGCGTCCCATATAAAGTGGAGGATGATGGGCAGGGATGTTAGACCAGGGCCAGTCTTCCTCAGCAAAAAAAAGAGGAGGATTGACATCGGATGTTAGCTCAGGGCTGATCTTCCGAAGAAGAAAAAAGGATAAGAGGATGAGATTTTGGATGGGACATGTGTCTGGAGTACAGTATCAAACTGACTAACAGGGGAAAACTGGGTTTGATGACTTAGCGTTCTCAGTATCTAAAATCTCTTGCTGATGAGATAATGTGTAATTTTTCCATTTAAAATTATGATTGAAGGGCCAGCCCCATGGCTTACCGGTTAAGTGCTCGCGCTCCACTGCTGGCGGCCCGGGTTCGGATCCCGGGCGCGCACCGACGCACCACTTCTCCGGCCATGCTGAGGCCGCGTCCCACATACAGCAACTAGAAGGATGTGCAGCTATGATGTACAACTATCTACTGGGGCTTTAAGGGGAAAAAAATAAATAAATAAAATCTTTAAAAATAAATAAATAAATAAAATTATGATTGAAGATTTAGTATGTCTCATGTGCTGTACTGGTAATGGAAACATCTGTTATTCCCACTCTGAGCAAGAAGAGTGTTTTAATTGTGTTAAAGCTAATTTGCAGTAATAAAGAGATAATAAGATACAGTGACTTAAATACTAAAGAATTTTATTTCTGTATTATATAAAGTTTCTAATATCACAGGCCATTGGAAAACCTCATTGCTCATGTTTATTCAGGAATCCAAGTTCCTTCCATTACATAGCTCCACCATCTTTTGGTGTGTTTCTTTTTTTTGTGGCATCTGCATATCTGAATCTGTGTTGCTGCCAAGTCCAGGTTTTAGTAAGCAAGAAGGTAGAAGAGGGTATAGAGAAAACATGCCACTGTCTCAATCCTCTGGTTTGAAAGTGGCACCCATCATTTTTCTCACATTCAGTTGATGAGAATATTTTTACATGGCCATACCAGTTTTCAAAGGAGACTGAGAAATGTTATATGACTGGGCAGCTATCTGCATGGCTACTACCCTGTTAATGCAAAAGAATGGCAAAACAGATTCTAGTGGACAGCTTTCAGTATACCACAGATGGCTTGTCCTGTCTGATTTTATACTTCTTGTTAGATGTAAATAATTTTAGATCCAAGAAAATGGTTACACCTGGATGGAGAGTTGGAATATAGACATCCATTTATTTATTGTTTGTATAGGTCAAGATGGCTATGACCATAATATATTTCCTATAGGCATGAATAAATTGGTTTTTTTCAGTTTTATTGATATATAATTGACATACAGCACAGTATAAGTTTAAGATATACCATATCTGAATCTGTGTTGCTGCTTATATATATTGTGAATTGATCACCCCAATAAGTTTTGTTAACATCCGTCTCATATAGATACAAGAAAGAAAAAGTGTTTTTTTCCTTGTGATGAGAAATTTTAGGAACTACTTTCTTAGCAAATTAAATTGGTTTTTGATCACATTAATTCTGTGTTGTTGCTAATAAGCAAGAAGCAGCAAGATTAGTGAGGATTTAGAATTGAAAGCTAATGAAGACTTAGACTCTGAGTCACCCCCTCCAAGCCTAGGCTCTCCATGGATATTTCCCCTTAAAACCCTTGTCTTTTTAAACTTCAGCCCACCCTACTTGATATCCAAGCCTCCTACCAAAAGAGAGCTAGGTTGCTTATGTTGAACTCCAATCTCCAAAACTTAATAACCATGTTTTAGGACAAATTATATATATACCATCTACAATAGGTGGGTAATAATAGAAAATACCACATAGGGCTTTTGAAAGGACTAAATGAGTTCATATAAATATTTATTGCTTGGAACATCATAAGTATCATGCAAGAGCTTGGCACACAGTAGGTGCTATGTATTTATTTCCTGTCATCATTGTCATCATCATCATCAGATTTACTGGTTTCCGTGTGTTCAATTTGGATTAGCTTATGTGTACCTTTTAATCTTCTGCTATCTATTATTTGTGTCAATTTTCCTTTTTCTTCTCTTTTTAGATGGGAAGTTTGGGATTAAGACCTCACAAACAAGAATTTCTGGAAAAGCTTCGTTTCATAGTGAAATGGAGGGTGAAGACACAAGAGATGATTCATTGTATTCCGTTTTAGAAGAACTGTGGCAAGATGCTGAACAGATAAAAAGATATCAGGAAAAACAGAACAAACCTCTGAGTCACGCTGCTTTCATCAATAAGAAACTATTGAATACAGAGTGGGATTATGAATATAAAGACAGTGTAAAATTTGTTCATCCAAGCCAAAATCATGTTTCTTCACAGAAAAGACCCCATAAATACGACTCATTTGGAAGGAGTTTTAAGCATAATTTAGATTTACATATTCATAGTAAAAACAATGCAACAAAGAACTTTGATAAAATTCTTGGACGTGGTCAAGTTTTCACTCAGAGCTCTTCTTATACTAACCATGAAAATACGCATGCAGGAGTGAAATTCTGTGAAAGTAATCAGTGTGGAAAAGTCTTCAGCCTCAAACAAGCACTCGGTCACAATCTAAAATTTCCTGTTGGGGAGAAAGCAAATATGTGTACTGAATTTGGGAACATCTTCACCCAGAAGTCACACCTCTTTGCACCTCAGAGAATTCATACTATGGAAAAACCTCATGAACTTAGCAAATGTGTAAATGTTTTTACACAGAAGCCACTACTCAGTATATGTCTGAGAGTTCATCGAGATGAAAAACTATATATATGTACTGAATGTGGGAAGGCATTTATCCAGAATTCAGAATTAATTTTGCATGAGAAAACTCATACTAGAGAAAAACCCTATAAATGCAGTGAATGTGGAAAATCATTTTTCCAGGTGTCATCTCTACTTAGGCATCAGACAACTCATACAGGAGAAAAACTCTATGAATGCCGTGAATGTGGGAAAGGCTTCTCCCTGAACTCAGCCCTCAATGTACATCAGAAAATTCATACTGGAGAGAGACACCACAAATGCAGTGAATGTGGGAAAGCCTTTACCCAAAAATCAACACTTAGGATGCATCAGAGAATTCATACAGGAGAGAGATCCTATGTATGTACTGAATGTGGGCAGGCCTTCATCCAAAAGGCACACTTGATTGCACATCAAAGAATTCATACTGGAGAGAAGCCTTATGAATGCAGTGACTGTGAGAAATCTTTCCCTTCTAAGTCACAACTTCAGATGCATAAGCGAATTCACACAGGAGAGAAACCCTATATATGTACCGAATGTGGGAAGGCCTTCACCAACAGGTCAAATCTCAATACTCATCAGAAATCTCATACTGGAGAGAAATCTTATATATGTGCTGAATGTGGGAAGGCCTTCACTGACAGGTCAAATTTCAATAAACACCAGACCATTCATACTGGAGAGAAACCCTATGTTTGTGTCGATTGTGGGAGGGCCTTCATCCAGAAGTCAGAGTTAATTACACATCAGAGAATTCATACTACAGAGAAGCCGTATAAATGTCCTGACTGTGAGAAATCTTTCTCCAAGAAACCACATCTCAAAGTACATCAGCGAATTCACACAGGAGAGAAACCATATATATGTGCAGAATGTGGGAAAGCCTTCACTGACAGGTCAAATTTCAATAAACACCAGACAATTCATACTGGAGATAAACCCTATAAATGCAGTGATTGTGGAAAGGGCTTCACTCAGAAATCAGTTCTGAGTATGCATCGCAATATTCATACATGAAAGTAACCCTGTTTCTTGAAAATGAGAAAGCCTTATCACAGAAGTCAGGTCTAATTGTACATTACAAAATTCATCCAAGACAGATCCTATATGCCATTGCATCATAAAAAGCATTCATCAGGCTCTCTCACCTCAGAGGAGCAAAATTTTTCAGAAGAGACCCTCTAAGAATGCACTAAATGAAGGAGAATTTCCATATTTGCGCCTCACAATATATAATAGAATTCAAACCAGGAAAAATGCTGTCAGTTTGATGCATTAGGAAAAGCTTTCCTATGGAAAGTATTATAAGGCAAATTGTTACCAAATTCTTTATAGATGGAGTGTGCAAAATTATGTAAATGACAGTCATGTTTACTGTGTTATATTAAGCAATTTAAAGTGAGAACTAAATGAAAGATAGGACAACAAAATAATATATTTGATGCATAGACCTAGTCTCACTTCTGTAGGGTGTTTGTGGCAGAACACATTGTACAACAGGAGGAATAATAATTGAAATTCTGTTTTTGAATTTAATATAGTTGTGTCTGTCAAATATATTTCTTATTGAATATTTCTCTCACGTGAATCCACAGTTATAAAGTCATTGTGGTTTTGTATATACACACATCTGCAGATGTAGTTTTACATGAACACATAAATACAATCCTATCCTTCATACTGGTTTCCATGAGATCATGTTTTTATCTTCTTTCGTTGTGGTACAATGGCAAATAGCCACCAATTCCTCCCATCCTTTTATGTATGCCCCTTTGCGATGTTACTCTGTTTTCTTATTGAGAGGTAGAGTCTCTATCTTTCCACACTTTGGCTCTCAGCTTGGCCATGTGACTTGCTTTGGCCAGTGTACATTAGCAAAGAGATTCAAGAAGAGGCTGGAGAAGTGTGAATGCCTGCCTTGAGGCTTACGCTCTCTTGTTGCTTTTAGGAATTCTGAGACCTTTGTGTAAAGAAGCTCAGATTATTCTACTGGGGGATGAGAAACCACATCGAGCAGAGATGGGCCAGCCCAGCTGAGGCCTCTTAGACCAACTGCCAGACATGGAAGTGAGGCTTTCCTCAACCTCCATTCCCAGCCAAGCCGGCCCACACCAGAAGGGCCATACCAGTTATCCCAGCCAACCTGGAGAATTATGAGATAAATAAAATGATTATTGTTTTAAGCTACTAAGTTTTGGGGTAGTTTGTTGCACAGCCAATGCTAAGTAATACCTAAAAGTGTATGTGTGTGGGGGATATTGTACCAAAACATAAGACGTGGCATTTAGCTTTGGGCCTGGGTGGCAGGTGGAGACTGGAAAAACAATGAAGAAAACTGTTAAGAAAGGCTGGAAAAGATAGCAGCCCATGTTATTTAGTAATGAGAAACATAGCAAAACAGTCACCATGCTCTGTGGGAAGATAGAGAATGTACCAAATGAACTTGTGGGTCTGGCTAAGGAGATTTCCAACAGAATGTTGGAAGTATCAGTTTGCTTCTTTTAGTTGCATATGGTAAGGTACAGAAAGAGAGATATGAACTAGGGAAATAACTGTTCCATTTGCAAGCAGAATTCAGAAGAAATACAAAAAAGCCAGGACTTGCTGGGTTAGAAAATAACTGTTTCACATGTCCAGTCTCTCCAGCCATCAAAATATTCTCAAGGTGAAAAAAGGCCTCAGAGTAGAGATCAAATCATGGGTATGGCTGTAAGACCCTTTGTTGAAATGTGTTAAATATTTAAGTTGGTGTTTGGGAGACCCTCTCAGCTAAGCTAAACAGCTTCTAAAAACTTCACAACATTGTCCCCAGTAGCCTGACACACTGCTCAAAGTCGAGAGAAGCCTGTCTTAAAAAGAATTGTCGATGTGGCATTTGGGGCACGGAGTACATACAAACCAGATTCATAGAAAACCTATAAAGTTTTTAATAGAGTTTTACTAGCAGAACTACCTCCAGGTTGGACTTAAAGGGACTGAAACAGTCCACAATGAAAAGTGGCCTCTGGACTCCCCTCTCTAACTTCTATGAACAGGAAGCAAGCTGAGCAAGTTACTCAGCTATAAACATGGGCCATTTCTTATGGGCAAAGAAGGACATCTCAGAGAGAAGACCCCAAGAACAATATATTAAAATAGACTGAGAAACTGTTCCCAGGTAGAACTGTGACCTAATCAAGAAACATTATCTGCCCCTGGAGCAGGGAGACCTGACAACATTTGCTCTGTGGGATGTCTCAATTGTTGTGGAACAGTGGCTGATACGTGCCTGCCTCTTATTTCTCCCTCTTTTGAATGGGAGTATCTACTGCAGTTATCCTGTCCCTATCTCACCATTGTACATATATATATATTTGTGTGTGTGTGTGTTGCGTGGGAGAGGGGAGGTGATCATGTAACTTATCATTTAGCTGACAGGTCTCTGGATCAAGAAACTGAGAAATGGCACCCAAGGAGCCTCAGCCACATCTAAACCTGAACAGAAGACTTGAGGTCCTGGATTTGAGCCTGATGCCATAATTTGGGATGAGACAATTGGAGGTCTTGGAATGGAGGTGAGAACATATTTTGCATGGTGTGGTAATGTAAATAATTTATGACCAGAAGATAGACTGTGTTAGATTAAAAAAATGCTACAAATTTCTCCCATCCCTATATATGCCCCTTTTCAATCCTTATATCTCTTTGTGTTTCAGTTGGGATCATTTCTATTAACCTATCTTCAAATTCACTGATTTTAACCCCTACCCTGGCTCTGTCAGGTCTACTGATGAACCCATAGAAGGTTCATCTCAGTTATGTTTTCTCTTTTATTTCTAGTATTTCCATTCGACTCTTAGAGTTTTCATCTTTCTGCTGGAATTCCCCATATGTTCATACCTGTTGTTCACATTTTCCACTCTCCTCTTTAACATATTAATCATTGTTGGGCCGGCCCCGTGGCTTAGCGGTTAAGTGCGCGTGCTCTGCTACTGGCGGCCCGGGTTCAGATCCCGGGCGCGCACCGACGCCCCGCTTCTCTGGCCATGCTGAGGCCGAGTCCCACATACAGCAATTAGAAGGATGTGCAACTATGACATACAACTATCTACTGGGGGGGTTTGGGGGGGAAAAAAAAGGAGGAGGATTGGCAATAGATGGTAGCTCAGGGCTGATCTTCCTCAAAAAAAAAAAAACATTAATCATTGTTATTTTAAATTCTGGGTCAACTGAGTCTGGATCTGTTGATTGCTTTGTCTCTTTATGGTGGATTTTTTTCTCTTGCTGTTTTGCATCTAATAATTTTTGGCTCAATGTCAGATGTTGTATATAGGAGAGTAGAAACTGAGATACATAATATTTATTCCTGGAAATAGACCTAGATGCTCTTATAGGTCATTAGTGTGGGGGGATTGAGTCCATTTAGTCAAGATTTGGGCTGGGTTTGGGTTTTCTTGTTGCTCTGGTTACCTTCAGTGTACCGTAGTCTTCAAATTTCTCTAGTGTTACCTTGTGCTTAGGGTAGGCACTGGTTTTCCAGAGAATTTTTCTCAATGTTCCTGCACCACCCTTGCCTTTAGGCTTTCCTGTGTGCCTGCATCTCAGGGAGGATCTCTCTCCATGCTCTTGCCTCTCCCTTAGTAGTAGACTGCTATTATTACTTGGTTCTTGGTGACCTGATGCGTAGGGCGCAAGAGTTGTTCTGGGCCAGCCTCAGTTTTAGGCAGGCCCTATATCCCTAGGTCTTGAGGGTGGGGCTTTTTTGGTGATCCTGCCCCTCCCCACTGATAGAAGGCCTTTAATGGTCTGGGCCCAGGATGGTTTCCTGTCCTTCCCTCTCGAGTGCAAGATGTTTTTCCTTTTCCCTTCCTCTAGCCACAATGGATCTTCACCTGTGTCCTGGAGGCAAGAGAGTTTGCTGCACTTCCCCCAGTGGCTTAAGGCTTTTGTTCTGTAAGGGAGTAGAGTCCCAATGGGGCTTTGTGCCATTTCTGTATCAGGAGCTGCTCCCTTGCAGGCCTGCACCACTGACAGAGGCTTTCTCTAGTCTCCTGCCCTACCCCAAATGTTTCTTCTGAGCACCCAGTGGAGGTCTGTGGAGAAGAGCCTGCAAGTGGGGGCCAACTACCTTTAGATCTCCAGCTCTCAGGAGTCTGTATTCTCATACTATCCCACACTCAGCCTTTAGGAATTCATTTAAAATTCTTACCAAATTCTTACTGCTGATATGGTAGGCCTATCATCCTGCTCTGCCACAGGTGACCCAGTGATAACTTCCTCACTCCTTTGAGGCACTTGTGTTATATATCAAGCTAATTGGTTGCTCTATGGTCTTAGCTCTCTGATGAGTTCAAAAAAAGTTATGGTTTTGTAGATTATCCAGATTTTTTATTTGTTATGAGAATGGGAACTGTGCTCTTTCAAGATGTCTACATCCTAGGCAGAAGCCAGAAGTCTGAATGGTCTCTTTTGGCCACTACCAGCAGAATATACGCCCCCTTTCAATGTGACTTTGCCATTTCACCCATCAAGAGGTAGAGTCCATTTCTCCAACCCATGAAACTGGGCTTAGCCATTTCTTTGGCCAATAGGTCATTAGCAAATATGACATACGCAAAGGCTTGAAAAGTGCTTGCACATTGAGGTTTGCCCACTCTTGCCACTCTTAGGAATATGGAGCCCATGTGTGAAAAAGCCTGGGTTGTGTTATTAGATGATGAGAGACCTCATCATCTAACGGAGCAGTGATGGAGCAGAGACGGGCCATCCCAGTTGAGGTGCCCTAGACCAACCAGATTTTCACCTGCCAGATGTGAATGAAGCCATCCTAGCCATCCAACCCTGGTCAAGCCCACTGTGGTCAGCAGCCTTTGAGATGACCCTGCATGATTCCCACCTTCTGGTATCCACACCCTTGTATAATCCCCTCTCCTTGAATTTGGGCTGGATTTAGTTACTTAGTTCTAGTGAATAGAATGAGGCAGGGGTAATGGGATGTCACTTCCAAGATTAGGTTACAGAAAGACTATGGCCTCCATTTGGGGTGCTCTCTCACTGGGGGAAGCCAGCTGCCATCTCATGAGGCAGCCCTGGAGAGAGCTACATGAGTGAGTTTGGGAACATATCCTCCTCAGTCTAGCCTTCAGATGAGACCGTTGCCCCAGCTGACAGCTTGACTGCAGCCTCATGAGAGACCTTCAGCCTGAGGCACCCCTCTGAGCCTCACCTGAATTCCTGACCCACAGAAACTGTGAGATAATAAGTATTTGTTGTTTTAAACTGCTAAATTTTAGGGTAATTTTTTACACAGTAATAGATTAATAATATACTGGCTCAGACTAGAAAAGCTCTGCCATCCATCTCACCCATCCCAGACAACTCACAGAATCATAGATTAAAATGTTGATTGTTGGGGCCGATCCAGTAGTGTAGTGGTTAAGTTCTTGTGCTCCGCTTCGGTGGCCCAGGGTTCACGGGTTTAGACCCCAGGTGCTGACCTATGCACTACTTATCAAGCCATGCTGTGGCAGGCGTCCCACATATAAAATAGAGGAAGATGGGCACAGATGTTAGCTCAGGGCCAATCTTCCTCAGGAAAAAGCAGAAGATTGGCAGCAGAGGTTAGCTCAGGGCTAATCTTCCTCACGAAAAAAAAATGGTGATTGTTTTTTAAGCCACTAAGTTTTGGGTGGCTTGTTACCCAGAAAAAGCGAACTAATGTATTTATTATTTACTGAATTTCCTCCTTCACTATTCATCCCTGACAGATAACCAATAATAATCACCTACTATGAACACTTTCATGTGTTTTTTTTTTGTTTTTTTTTTTGTGAGGAAGATCAGCCCTGAGCTAACATCTGATGCCAATCCTCCTCTTTTTTGCTGAGGAAGATTGGCCCTGGGCTAACATCCATGCCCATCTTCCTCTACTTTATATTGGACGCTGCCACAGCATGGCTTAACAAGTGGTGCGTCGGTGCGCGCCCAGGTTCCAAACCTGTGAACCCCAGGCCGCCGCGGTGGAGTGCACGCACCTAACTGCTGTGCCACCGGGCCAGCCCCCACTTTCATGTTTTAATCTGTGCTCATATTTATATATAGATATACATATGTTACATGCTTGTAGTCAGATAGAGGCTATATAAGGATTGTTTTCTTCCTTGATTTTCAAATATGGGATCATGTCATACAACCGTCTCTGCGTCTTGCTTTATCACTCAACAATAACTCTTTTAAATGGTTGCATGGTAATTAGTCTTTGGGTGGTGAACATGATGTAATCTATGCAGA